TATTATATTAAATAGTCTGAAAAAAAGAAGTTGATTGTTTTCAGATAGTATTTAAAACAATATTGTGTTAATAAATGGAACTATACAACAATGAAACGAGACATTTATAAGCATTCAAATTAATCAATAAGAATATAAATAAATTTTAATCATTTCTACTTCAATTTTTTTCAATGATGTCTAATGAAATGCAAATATATGAAAGAGAAAGTAGTTGAATATGGATGTCAAAGAATAACACTTGAGGTGATGCATTCATATTATTCTTAAAAATGTTAAGCATTCATTTCTTTTTGTTAAAAAAGAATCTAACAAAATATGTGATAGTAAAGCTAATCGAATTATTTATAAAAATTGAAAAATTAATAAAAGAACAACTGAAAGAAAAAAAAAAAATTTTATGAATTTTTATTGTATACGCAGACATAATTATATTTTTTTTCTAATAAAATAAAATATTTTCTATTTATTTTTTGTCTGATGTTTTTTTAAATATCAATCAAAAGTTCAAATTAACGTTTGAAGTCTATTTAAAGTAAAAAAAAAATATACTGATTGTAGATGCCGACTATTTATGAAACAGATAGTCTCGACGAAGCTATTGATATTGTTCAAGATGAGAACAAAGTAATAAGATAATATTACGATTTTTATGCATGATAAACTTTAGCAAACAATGTGTTAAATAAAATTGTGTCAATGGAAAGTAAAATATTTTGATGGTTAAATTTACTAGTTTTTTCATTATTCGTATTAGAGAATTTAGAATACAAAGAAAAAAAAAACATCTTTCTGCTGAGAAAACTAATTATAGTCTAATTCGTTTTTTTTTTTAATGGAAAAAGGTCCCTAAGTGAATCAAGCTGCTTTACAATAATATTTGGTACATTTCTAGGGACATTATTTCTGAAATAAAAAATCCTATGAGAATTCAGAATGATGAGACTTTCGTTACTCATGATGGCTATCTTACTGGTTTTTCAATCTAACGTAAAAATATTTACAGAAAATGAGAACTAAAAATTTTGAATTTGAAATATTACTTATCTATGAACCATTCAAGACAAAACGTAATATACCTAGATTTCATTTCATTTTGATTCTTTACAAGGTTTATTTCTCAAAATCAGCAAAATTTCATTTTAAAAGTTGGTTTTCTAGAGATTCTATTAAGCTTCGAAATAAAAAACTTTTATTTTACCATCATCTGAAGAGGACATTGTAACAGTTGGAATCTAGAAACCCTGATAAAAAAAAAATTTTGAATAGAGAATTGATAGTTTTAGAAGTTGTCTACAGAATGTACTATTTATTTTTTTCAAAAATTCTGCCTCGAATCTGAATTTATTTACACTAAAGTGCAAATCCACACATCACTCACGCTTGGAAAAACTAAGTCTATACTCTGATAGAACTGAAAATTATTATTCTGAATAATTTAGTCGTTTTGAATTTGTTTGTTACAACAAATAAATGCAAAACAATGAATAAATATTTAGAATGATAGAGAATTTCAAACTCTATCTGAGTATACGTTTCATTTCTTTCGAAAGGTAATTCTATAGTTAATGAAAAATTTAGAAATTCAATTTTTTGATAATAATATATGCCAATTAGAATGCACTCAATTTATTCTTGTAGTGTACTAGTGTTGTAAACTAGGATGTACATATACAGGATAATAGAAGATTTCAAGTGCTTGCAGAATATGTAATTATTTGTTTTTATAATAACAATATATTTAACATACAGATAGCAATTATTTTTCTCAAGGCGTAAATATTGTTTTTCTAAACACTAGAATACTCTAAAATTTCCAGTAGAAAACTTATTTCTTTTTCAATGTTTTTTAAATATTGCATGTTAAATTGAAAAATCAGTAAAATGTTCATAGACCGTGAAGGAATCCTCATCAGTTTAAGTTCTCTTAAAATTTTTCAGTAGAATAATCATTGACAACAGCGTCGATCTGTTAATTACTTTCCTTCGTAAATGCAAAAAAAAGAAAAGCCAGATTAATAACATTTTGAGATAAACCAACTTGATCGACGTACTGATTTAGTTCAGGAATGATAATAAAATAATCATTATAAAGAATTCGTGCATGAAGTTTTTATGATATTGAAAATACATACTAATTTAATTTTGTTTTTTTTTAAAGCGATATCCGTTTATCCTACACAAATTCGATATTGGTCCATGTCAAGAAAAATGGACAAGTGATTATTTAGCATCAAAAATTGGTTCAAAACCAGTAAGAATACATGTTTCACAAGATCCAATGCTGGATTTTGTTCGAAAAAATTTTACTTATGAGTATGTTTGTTTACTATAATCTTTTTTTCTTTTTCATTATAATTCTATATTTATATGTGTCTCATTCTAGAACTTTACCATTTAATAAACTTATTCATCGATGTGAACGAACAACAAATGATGAATATTTTCTTGCATCTGATGAACATTATTATTTTCGAGCACTTGGTGATAATCAACGAACAGATATTGCTAATATAGAGTAAGAATTAATCAACAATGTCATTAAATTTGTTGCATTATGTTCGAAAATGAGTAGAGAACCTTTATTTTATTTATACCATTCCTTGGATAAAAGTTACAGATATTATTTACAAATGGTCGTTTACGCCGTAAATCTATTGAATTCAATAATCTTTTGTATATCGACTTAGAAAATTATTGAAGTTATCAAAACTTGTTTATTTCATGTTTTAGCCAAGACTTTTTGACTACATTTGAAATAAATGATTTTTAGTATTTACAGAGTAAATAAAAACCATTTAACTTATCATCGAAAATAATTTTTCCGGTGGTTAAAAATTTTCCTCACTACTCTAGAACAAGGACTGAGATTCTAATTGTAACACATCGGAAATACTTTGTAGCGGATTCAAAGTGAACAAATATCTCGTTTACAAATTTTTCGATCATTCATCATTTAAAACAGAGCTTTATATTGAGAAAAGTTTCAAATAGAAATTTAGACTTCGATATTACTCATCATCTGAGTCTCGTCTTGATTAGCAGTACTTCATTTTTAACTTCATACATTTCTTTTATCTTTAGAAAACATTTTTCATCGATTGCAAATGATATTAAATATCCACCATTATTTTCATCGGAAAATTTTTTTTCAAGTGTATTTCGTATAAGTTCAGCTAATACTCAATTATGGACTCATTATGATATAATGGATAATATTCTTATTCAAGTACATGGTACAAAACGAGTTATTATGTTTAAACCAAGTGATATTGAATATCTTTATATTGATGGAGATAAATCATTAGTAAATAATATTGAAGAACCAGATTTTGAAACATATCCACTTGTTCGTCAAGCAACTTATTATACAGGAATATTAAAACCAGGAGATTGTTTATTCATTCCTGGTTAGAATAATCAATTCACAATAATTATCTTTTATTTTTATTTTTATTTTTTGTCTTTTAGCTCTTTGGTTTCATAATATAAAAACTTTAGATACACATGCAATATCTGTAAATGTCTTTTGGCGTCATTTAAATATTGATTTTTATGAACCAAAAGATTTATATGGTAATAAAGATCTTGTTCCATTTAGTCGTACAATTGGTCAATTAGCTAAATCTTTAAATGAACTTGATAAACAATTACCATCTGTCTATGTTGATTTTTATATTAGACGTTTACGTTGTTACCTTGATAACTACATAAAAGACTATGAAAAAAAACTAGAAAATTAATAATAAAAAAACAGACACCGGATACTATGCGTTTTTTTTTGTCGTTCATGATTATTGTTATGCTCTTTCTTGTAAATTAATATCTTTAGTCGAGAAGAAAGAAAAAAAAAATAAAACATGCAAATCTCCTTTTTTTTTTTCTCAATAATTACATTCATTGAAAACAAAAAAAAATGCCATTTGTTGTTCAAGATGTTCTTCAACATAAACGTAATGAACGTCAAATACGTGAACTTCATGAACGAGAATATTCGAAATATGTATCAAATCTTCGTCAACAGTCATTTAATTCTAATATGTCTTATTTATCAATTGAACATATTAGAGAAATTGAACGTGCACGATTGAGATATATTTGTAACAATAAAATTCAATATGAACGTATTAAACGAGAAAATGATTTATTATCAGAACGTTTATATAAAACAAATAAACGAACAATGATTGATGATAAAAATTATCAATATCAAAAAAATTTGGATACATTTAATTTAAAATATTCTCAACAACGTTTAAATGACTATAAACGTATTAATAATGAAAATAATATGTTAATAAAACGTATTAATACTGTACGTGGACAATTAGTAACTAAACAACAATGTGATCAAGATTGGCAACGACATATTAATGTAATGAAAAAATCTTGTGATTATCCAGAAAATATTGATCGATTTGTTTCAAATACTAATCAATCTAAACATAAACGAATATGTCAATGGAATAAACAATATAATATTATTCAAAATTTATCTCAATTAAATCAAAATTCATTAATTCAATTATCTGAATAAAATATTATAAACTTTTAAATATATATATATGAGTTATTCAACAGAAAAGAATTTTGAATTATCTGTATTTTCTTGTTTCTATGACGACATTCTGATTCACTTGCGTATTAAAAAAAAACATTCCTAAATAATTCACAATAAGTCCTAAGATAGAAAAATTTCAGAATTAGTATAAGCTGTTTCTCGATAAATCATTGTTTTAATTTCTTCGGTAAGAGTTTTTATTAAAATTGATCTATTGTTGAATTCATTTAAAAGATAATAAGATCATAGTCAAAAATATTTTATATATATATTTAATAATCATTAAAGGATCTCTTTGAAAATTCAAATTTGAATTTTTAATGTTTCAACTTCAAATGATACATTTGTTTACGAAAAACTATCAAAAAATAGGCATTGAATAATTTCTTTTTTTTTTTGTTTTTGTATAAATTAAAGAAAGACTCAAAAGATTTTATGTTTATGCATTGGTTAATTTAATGGATGAACGTTGACTGATTGAATTTCGTCGAGGAATATTCAGTGCAGCTAATGTTGATTGTTTAGGATTTAGAGATGATCGTGAAAAGCTTAATGTATTTTTTGATATTGATGTTGGTCGAAATCTTCCGACTGGTGTTAAATCAGTTATTGTATCTTGTTCAACTACTACTGGTGCTGGTGGTACAGCAGATGGTCGATAATTTGAACTATGATGTATATTAAATAAATCAACCAATTTATCAACTTCTTGTTGCCAAATATATTGTTGTTGTTGTTGTTGATTAGTACGTTTTAAACGTATATTATCATTTGTTTTACGATGATTAAGAATTTTTGGTTGATGATCTTGTAAACCAAAAAGTTCTTCAGGTTTAAGACCAAATAATTCTTCAGGTTTATTATAACGACTTGTTGCACCTTTTGCTTCTCGAATTGAACATGATGAATCAACTGTTCGTTGAACTGAAGGATGACGATGATGATTTTGTAATGCTGCTGATAATGGACGACCAGCAAATAATGTTTGAGAATATGATGATATTTCAGATGCTAAATTTGAATGTTGTTGTTGTTTAGGAATACATGAAGCTGAATTAGGTCGATTGATTATAGATAATTTCTTTTTAGGTTTTTTTTGTGATGATATTGGTAATACTTTTGGAGTACTCAAACGAGATGGAGCACCAACAGCATTGACTGATGTTTGATTACGTGTAACAATAGCTGTTTTAGGACGTTGTAATTTATTTTTAATTCTTGAAGATTCTTGTACAATAGAAATAGCAGGTTCAATATAATTTATAGTTGAATTCGATCCTGGTCGATCGATTGTTTTATTAGGTATAAGAAGATCTTCAGTTGATGAACTTGGTTTATTTAATAAATGTTGTTGTATTAATAATTGTATTCGTGGACTTGTTCGAGCTGTATTATTATCTTCACTATCATCAAATGTTATTTTACGTTCGCCACCTATTGGTGTTGATTGTAATTCATTAACTAAAGCTTCTGTACTACAATAATGTGTACTACTAGGTATGATAGATTCTGTTTTATTGATATCATGATTTTTTTGTGATGTGGCATGTTTTTTATGTCGTATACGTCGACGATGATGAGTTTGTTTACTCTCATTACAAAATCCAGCTAAACGTGTTGAATAAGTCGAATCATTTTCATTAAAAATTATTTTAAGTAAACCAAAAGATATTGTAGAAGGACGCATATCATTTTTATTTGCTGATGACTTGTGAGAAGTTGTTCGAGTCTTTGTTTTTGATGGTGTTGTTGTTGTTGTACTTAGAGCATGATTATCGTCAGTTTTCTGTGGGGTTTCATAGATGGAAAGAGGACGAGGTATAACAAAAAATTCATCCCAATCACGATGTGTGATTTGATTAGCACATTCAATATGTCCATACTTAAGTGCAAGAACAGCTGCTGAACAACCTGAATAACAATAAAAATTACCAATAATGATAATTACCAAAAAGAATTAATCTTACCATCTCGATTGACATACTGATCAAGATGAATATCCATTTTTTCTGCTGATTTTATAAGTAATTCAGCAATTTCACAATTACCTAATATGATATAAGTATTAAAAGATATATTCAAAAACATATCATCACTTCTATAATCAATTACCTGTAATAGCTGCATAATGTAGACAAGTATTTCCTTCACAATCTCTTGCTTCGAGATTAAAATCTAAACAAGATAAAAATAGTTGAACAAGATGTATTCGTTGTAGAGCACAAGCATGAAGCAATCTAACAAAAAATAAAATGAATAATCAGTATTTCTTTTTTTTTTTTTGTGTTGAAATAAAATCATCTTACGCATTTCGTCTTGCATGATCTTCTAATGCAACTTTAGCTCCTTTTTCAAGTAGATTTTGTGCAAGTGATAAACTCCATCGATCATTTTCTACATAAGAACACAAAATTAATGGTGTACGTAATTGATTATCACGTTCATTTGGATCATAACAAAGTTGTAATAAATATCGAATACATCGAAAATAACCATGTTGAATAGCGAATGGCACATTAAAATGTTTTGGTAATAATGTTGGTGGAATTAATGATGATTTATGTGTTTGTTGACTACGATCAGTATTACTATCAGAATGAGACATCGATGATAATGGCACCGGTGGAAATTGAGATGATACAAGCATTGACAAAATAAAAGTCATAGAATTGAACAATGGCGTAAACAGTTATGGTAACTTAGCAGCATTCAAAAAGTCAATTAAAGGAAAGAGAAAAAAAAGGAATTGAACGATAGTATGCCAATTAGCAACGGCTGATGTGTATAGACTGAAATGAAACGACAACAAACCTATTTTTCTTTTCACTTCAGCTTTGCTCACTTCGCTTTGATTCTATAGAGGAAAAAAATTAAATGTACATGTCGAAGAAAGAGCACATACATACACGTAAAAAAAGAAAAAAAAGTGATTGATGTGTTTTTCTTCCATAAATAATTTATGTATATAAATATTCAGTTTTGATTACTTTGAAATGTTTTGACAAAACTTGACTATAAAATCAAAGATCATCATATTCGTTTCATCTTTAGTATCGTTTATTTTTATGTAATTTCAACTTGTTTGTCCAATATTGTGCTTCATTCTTGATTGAATAAAATAAATTTAACGTTTTTCTTTGTGTTCTGTCGAATAGAACATACTCAAATATACATACGTTTGCATTCATAAATCAATAAAAAAGAAAAAGACGAAAAAGTATAAACAGACTATTTTAATAATAATTGATCGTTATTCTTCAAAAAAAAAAATACTTCAAGTAGAGCCACTTTAATAAATAGAAATACTTAATTTAAACATCTCAAGAAATTCTTTTTTTTTCTTTTTGGTTTGTCTTTCATCTTCAACAATATTAATACATTAAAAGATAAACATTAACATTAAATTGATCTATGAACAATCTTAACTAAAACATGTTATGAAATATGAATTTAAACATCGATTATTGATTACATAGTATTTTAGCAACCATGAAAATTTTTTATTTTGCACGACGTATTTAAACGAAATAAAAACTTGTTTCTATTGTATCGAAATAGACATACAACAAAGAGTCATGGCTGATTCTTCAAATAAAAGAGAAAAGTTTGTTTACGATGATAATATAATAAAAGAAAATGGAATTAAAACAAGTAAACAAAAAATAATAATGCCATATAATATCATCTTTTTTTTTTTTTTTATTACGTTTCGTTTTTTTATTTTTATTTTCTATAATCATTTTTAGATAATCATTTTCCAATGTTTGATCTGAAAAAAAAGGACTTTTTTCCATTTTGTTTATCTTAGTTACCGATGGCAAAATATAAAATGCAAGTCGGAACAATTTATTATGGCATAACTGTGACAGATATTGAACAGAATTTAGAATGGTTTTCTAGGATGCTGTCTATATATTAGTTTTCTTATGTGGTAAGAAGCAGAGAATTCCTGTAATCAGTCGCATACACATTCAACTTTCATATCTTGCGTGTTTTTTGCTGTTACGAAATCTGTACTTGGTATCATGGTGTTCTAGAGTACGATGAGTCGCTAGAAACTCATGCCTGGAAATAATACTAAGGTTTTTTAATTTTGACTATTTGACCTTCATCTTTCACTTGAGAAAATACAAAGTTGCTGAACAGAAAAATGTCGAAGATTGAGATTTCTGCACACCGTATTTATGTAGTCCTTTGTTACATGAAAAGACCAAAAGTCAATTAACGAATTATTGAATGTTTGATCAAGTAAATATTTTTGAAATTGATCTATTCTATCATTGAATTTTAATGAGTATTTTTATAAAAAATAATCTATTAATAGACATACATCATTGTTAATTAAATTGAATTATGTCAGGCGTTAATTTAATATCTAGTCCATAAAATGTTGCTGTGTATCAAAAATACACATTTGAAAAATTCAAATCAAACTTAAACAAATGTTTTTTTGATTGTCCTTCAATATCTCATCTATATTCTAATTTCGACAATAAAACTTGAATTGTTCTTATTGACATGATACATTAATCATGCGAGAATAAACACCAAAAGAATACCATTCATTCATAAGCTTGTTGATTATCCGAAATTTCTATCTTAAATTTTCCTCTTAAGAAAAACATTAGCATTATTTATTTGATTCTTTTGAGGCATTCATTTTTCCATGATATGTATTCGTCGAATATATTCATTCAAAAATACAGTGTTCGAATCAGAAAGTCATATCAGATATCATTAAACAAAAGAAATACAATTCAATTGACTTGCCTGAAATAATCGCATACTTTTACGATCATCTTTACGTCTTAACGTTCGTTTTAAGCATAAGAACGCAACATTTGTTATTGATTACTTCTATCTACTTAAATACACAACATCATTAAAGAACTAATCCTTCTTATTCATTTGATGTTGCTGCATGAATTTATGTTTGTTACTTCGAAAAACATTCTATGAAAATCTTTCTCACGATCATCTATTTCAACTATTTTCACGAAAATCTTTTTCTCTTTCAACAAATTTAAAATTTCAAAGTAATTACTTTAATTAATTCAACTGGATGAATTAACTTTGTAAAAGATTAATAGATATGAAAAGAAATCTATATTACCAACATTATCTTTATTCAAATTAGTATTGTCAAAACTAAACTGTAATTGTGATTATTTAGAATGTGAAGGAAACTTTTATTTTAATTTTAAAACATTTTTGTCGTTCAAGCATTGTTTTAAGAATTTTTCGACATGAATTCAATTATCCTCAGCATTAAGTAGTGTGACCATCGTCTTAGATAAAATCTTTATCAAAATGTTGTAAAGTACGTTCTAAGGTTATTTTATATAGTCGTTCAATTTCATCTCTATTAAGTTTTTCAACAAATTCTTCAATTTCTTTAAAACTTTCATTATTTTGATTAATTGGGTGTAGATGAGAACATACAAGATTAAAATCCATATCCACACTCAGATGTCCTAATTCCGAATTCAATCATTTGTGTACAATATTGTCAACCTAGACACTGGTGTCATTTGTCTACCGTTTGAACATTTCTACGATAAGTTTAACACAAAGATGAAGAGTCAATTGAATGAAGATTGTTTGTCAGACGTTGATAAATGATTGCTTGTAGAGAGGGATTATAGCTCGTCTAGTAGTGAGATCGAGAAGAAAACAGGATAAAATACAAAAGCATATCATTGACTACAAATATATCATTAGACATTTGGATAACTAGAAAAAGTAAACTCAACAACTGTCACCTAAAAACAGTGGCACCCATTGAACCAGGCGACATTTGATTACAAAGAGTGGTCTCACAGTCACAGAACAATTGATATAGTTAATAGGACTCCACAGGACAGCTAAAAACTTGTCTTATCCCTTCCCACATTCCACTCTCAATTCTTCAGACATGGGTGTGGGTGTTGGAGTCCTCTCTTATTTTACACCCATCTACACCCACACCCTCATTTTTGCTTATTATTCAACTAATAGTTAGTAAACAAGAGGCTTTCATTTTCATTGTAGAAATAAGGTTAGTTTATTTAGCTGATGAGAAAATTGAGTATGTTATTTGATAAAAATTCATGGAAATGCACTTGATTGAAGACTTGAAAAGAAAAAGCTTTGGCGTGGTTTCATTTCGAAATGACCTGTAATGCATGGAGGAATTTGTAGTTGGTGCTCATTTTTATTCTTATAAAATCATAGTCATGTTACGCTTTAATATTCAGTAAATTCTATGTGTTTTCCTCAATTTCTTTTTGTTGATGAAGTATCAGAACCTTTTATGTTTCTTTTCACATAATGTTTATTCAAAATTTCCTCGTGAAATCTCATTTTTATTGATATTTAGATGGAATTAGAAATACACGAGAAGATGTGATGACCAGATAGTTTTTATCTTATGTACATAGATTTTATAAAAATGAATTGTCCTGAACACAATTTTTCACTGAGTATTAATTTTTCACATCGTTGATCAAAGCATCAGCTTGTTCTTCAACACTGTCGAACAGATTAGGTCGATGTGGTTTCCATCCCAATTTGCGTAATCTTTCCGCCTTGGAATTCGACTGACTTCCAAGGGCGCCCCAACTTGCGGGCCCCCATAAAGCATCTTCTACTTCGTCGTCAGGAAAGGTCGTGACTTTTGACAATTTGATAGCACCTTTCTTGTGAAGAACTTCACCAATTTTTTCGGCTAATTGTCGCCACGAATGTCGTCCATTTTCGGCAAAATAGTAGCCTTCACGTCCTGTAGTTAAATATGGACTGAGTTTTGCATCGGGTTCGGCACTAGGTCCATAGACAGATAGAAGTTGATCGAAAAGAATAATGTAAGCATCGACTAAATCGTCGATGTGAACACTGTCCCATGTCGATTCACCTGCTCCAATCATTTCGACTTTGCCTCGTTTCAAAGCAGCGCGAATCAATATCGGAAGTTGAATGGAAGTTTGATTGAACAGTCCTGTGCCGATGCCATAGATGAGAGGCGGAAGAATGATGACACTCTTCAATAGAGGATTGGCTTGTGCTGAGTTGATTACTAAGAGATCAACATTTCGATGTATCTGTTTGTCGGCTAAACCATTGATCTGGTCAGGATCAAGATCATTGTAGACTATATTCGATCCTTTCTTGCCACGAACATCTTCAATAAGGACACCAGTACCACTGGTATGGATATAAATAACAGGTTTTCCTGTTGTCTGAGTTCGTTTGTTCAAACCAGAGATAATTGCTCTAGCCGATGGAAGATCATCAGCTGAATCTCCTGTATGAATCACCACATGTGACTCACTTGCTGCTTTCTCGATGAGATCGTGTGAGTCATTTGAACCAATTAGAGGGGTAACACCAAGCGATGCAAGTTTCTTCACTCTATTTTCATCACCACGAATTAGAGCGGTTATTTTGAAGTTCGAGCTATTTGGATGTTGAAGAAGACCAGTGAGAACTGAGCCTCCAATGTAGCCAGTTGCGCCTGTGAATAAAACATTAATTTGTTGTGAAGACATTTTGTATGAATTCAGATATGAGAATATGTTTATTTAAATAAGAATCAAATGTGCTTATGTATTCTTGACTTAGCAAAAAAAATTAGATGAAGAACGAAGAAAGAACAATGGATGAAGGACG